TAGCAGGTGAACAGAGCAGTCAGTCTCATAAATCAGGTCTCACATGATTTCTGTTATTCAATCAATAGGCTCTTTAACATCACTGAGCAACAACTGCATCAATTTGCATGTGCTTTTCAGTTGGAATGCTCTTTATTAAAAGCACTGCATTCATAATTCAGTCTCTACATCTTACAGTATTATTTCCATAGTAACGGTGGGTGAATATTTGTGGGCCACTACAATAAAAGTCTGAATTAAATCTAGCTAAACCTGTAAACAATGTCCAGACTTATATCTGTCTTATATATTTTGATATAAGAAACATATGTGCCAAAGTTTATACCATTTACCTTGATGGGGGCTTATTCATACTTTAGTATTTAATACAAGACATTCATAAAACAATTGTTAATTCATAAAACAATTGTCCAGACCTCGCTGTCACGATAAAAACCTTGTACAGTCACTTCAAAAAATGAAAAAAGGATATAACATAAAAGAGGTTCCTGGATTGAGGAAAATGACCAAAAAGATGTTTAATCTATTTTATGGTCATTTATATCCAGGAGCCTAGTTTAAATTCATACATTTAGACAGTAGAATAAATATGCAAGTCTATACTTTTTCTCACAAAAGAATTAACCTTTTCTTAAATGCTTTGGTGGTATTGTAGTCCTTTACCATCATGCTTATATGGACAGAAATATTTGTATTCCCTGGTATCCAGATGTTATATTTGTTGTGCCTCTATCAGCTCTCTCTCTCACCCTGGTCTGTTTTTGTGGTATGTGAGGTCAGTTTTGCCTGGCTTAAGAGTATGTGAGTATTTCTTTACTTCAGCTCAGAAGTCACAAGGCACTCATGCACCTGTTTCTCATTAAACAAGGCAATTTGTCACCTCTAACTGAATTCCTTGCTCTTCTCTTCACCTCACTCTCCACATATCTCCCTATCTCAGTCTCTTTATCATTATCATACATTTGGAACTTGTAACTTGTATTTGGAACTTTAATGTGATATATATATAATAATGGCTGTATTTTGTTCTTGTTAAAAAAAATTCTTCTTTTTTACGTCTTCGCTTATAACACTTAATCGTATTTCTATCTGTTATCTATTGTTAATCATAAATTATATATTTTTCTTTATATACAGTAATATTTAATTCATACTAAACGAAGGAAAAAGTGGAAAAGGATTCTGTACTGCTGTTTTTTATTTATATGCCCTGGCGCTAATTATGTGTTGCCTATTTCAGTGACAGTGACGTAATCATTACGTAATTCACTTTGGATTATTTTGGAACTCCTCTTTATTTGATGTGAGTCATGCGCTCGCTCACAAAGTATCGTGTGCTCTTCTGCTGCCACCTGGTGGTCAGAGTGGACAGAGCAGCATTTTTAAACCACATCACTGAATTCGGACCGGCTAGCTTCTGCATATAAACCAGGGCTGAGTTCAGCTTGGAGTGAGAATTCCCACGGGGGTTGGTTGGGGTTGTTTTGTTAAAACACACACACACACGCACACACGAACCCTGTCAGCAGAGTCTTGTCTTGACATCTGACAACGTCGGTGCAGTGTTTTATCATAAAATTATGTAAAATAACTGTTGCAATGCTGCAAAACAGATAACTTTTTACCACGACAAGAATAGCAATGTACAGTGAGAGAACTGTAAGATTTACAAGTCATAATTGCAACCGCATTTCAAACATATTTTGATATAAAATTACAATATTTTTCTATTAATCTTTAGTCTGCATTTAAATTGCTTAATGCCTATATATCTTGACAAATGACATTCTCTCCAGTACATTCGCCTACTATGGTTATAATCATTATGTCAGTCATTGCCATATGAAAATGAATCATACTGCATAATGAGTGATGAGGGATTTATATGTCGTCGTATGTTTGTTGCGTGTGCATGTGGCCATTTCAAAGCTTTTGTAAGTATTAGAATATGTATGAATCTTGAAATTAACTGTTTACATTTCTGATTTTTACTTCAGAACCTTTTCACTCGATAAGTTTGTGGCTTGTGAGCCAATAGGAAATCAACCATAGTCTTGCGCTTATGCATTTGTGTTTTGATGTGATGTGACGTGATGGGACTGTTTTTGATTGTATTGTGATAAGCTGTCTTGGTGTTATATACGCACCCTCTGTGAAAATGAATTTCCTCTCTGAGGACAAATAAATTATATATATCTAGATAGGCTGGACAGATAAATAAAGAGGTTAATTACGAATGCATACAAAAAATAAAGACAGCACGTGAGATTGGCCATGTTGGACTGAAACTGCCACTTTCAGCAAAAGAAAAGCGGTAATGCAAAAACTGAGCCAGAAACAAAATTCCTTTGTTACGTTCTCTCTATTTCCTCTTTGTTTCTTCACTCTTACCCCAACTCTTGGTTTTTCAGATAAAGGTTATCAGCAGCCACCTGAGGAGTTAGACAGTGCCATCATCACAATGATGGCATTCTCAGGAATTCTTCTCATCTTCAGTGTTGCTGGGTCACTTTACATATTAAAAAGCTACAAGGTAAAACTTGGCTGCACATTGTGTCGTAGAAACATTAGAACAATTTATTCAAATTTGTTGAATGTAAGTTTCTTTAATTTCAGATGCTTTCTTGTATACTTTAATGCATGAATTAGATGCTGTAAAAGTTCAGGCAATCTAATAATGAGGGGTTATACACTGGACGTGTGAACATTGATTATAACATTACAATGGCACCTGTCAAGGGGTGGGATATATTGTGCAGCAAGTGAACAGTCTTTCATGTGTTGAAAGCAGGAGAAATGGGCATGTGAAAAGATCTGAATAACTTTGACAAGGGCCAAATAGTGATGGCTGGACGACTGGGTCAGAGCAGCTCCAAAACATCAAGTCTTGTTGGGTGTTTCCGGTATGCAGTGTTTAGTACCTACCAAAAGTTGTGTAAGGAAGAACAACTGGTAAACTGGCGTCAGGGTCATGGGCATTCAAGGCTCACTTATGCACATGGGGAGCAAAGGCTAGCCCATCTGGTCTGATCACAGAAGAGTTACTGTAGCTCAAATTGCTGAAAAACTTAATGCTGGCCATGACAGAAAAATGTCAGAACACAGTGCATCACAATTTGCTGCATATGGGGCTGCGTAGTCCCCATGAAGACCCCTGTCCACTGCCGAAAGCACCTACAATGGGCACGTGAGTGTCAGAACTAGACTATGGAGCAGTGGCCTTATCTGATGAATAACGTTTTCTTTTAGATCAGGTGGATGGTTGGGTGCATATGTATCATTTACCTGGGGAAGAGATGGCAGCAGGATGAACTTTGGGAAGAAGGCAGGCCGGTGGAGGGTTCTGACATTCATGTGGATGTTACTTTGATACTTGCCACCTGCCTGAAGATTGTTTCAGACCCCCTGATGGCAGTGGCCTCTTTCAGCAGGATAATGCTCCCTGGTACACTGCAAAAATAGTTAAGGAATGATTTGAGGAACGTGAAAAAAAAAAGAGTTAGAAAAGATGTTGCCTTTGTCTCCAGATTCCCCAGATCTCAATTCGATTGAGCAACTGTGGGATGTGCTGGACCAGCAAATCTGATCCATGGAGGCATCACCTCGCGACTTGCAGGGCTTAAAGGATCTGTTGCCAATGTCTAGATACCACAGGACACATTATGAGATTTTGTGGTGTCCATGCTTCAACGCATCAGAGCTGCTTTGACAACACAAGGGGGACCGACATGATATTTGGCAGGTGGTTTTAATGTTATGACTGATCATTATTTATGGACTCATAACTAAACAGTAAATGTCAGTTCAGAAAAGATTATCTATGTGCTATTATGCAAGATGTGTAATCCCCCTTGGCTCCAGATGGACTGTCCAGAATTGCTTTGATTGCAAGATGGTGCTGTTAAGACCAAAAAAGGGCACACATGTACTGTCCAGAAAAACACATGTGATACTGTTAGTTTCAGCTCTAGTTTTGCCTCATTACTTTTAGGAACACCCTGCTTGTAGAGATGACAAAAATGAAGTTGCAGAGCAGAGGCCAGGGGGGAATGATGAAGTGATATTGGATGAGGATCCTGCATCTGCATCACTCTACACAGTGAGATAACAAGTCTTGTTTCTCTTTTGAGAAGTAGTCATTTGCTCTTTCTTTGTCTCTGTATTTGGTATTTGTTGGTAAAAGGTTTTTCTACCTGTTTCAATAAAAATTTTAAATGAAGTCTCAAATAAATGTATGCATAATATAATACTCCCTTCCAACAGGTGCTACAGTACAGATCGAGCTCCATTTATGATTCATTGCAACCAGACACGATGCATGAAGAGAACACATTGAAGAAAAAATCTGTTAAAAAGGTTTGTTTTATAAATAGTGTAATATCATACGACATGTATAGCTTATAATGTAGTCCTACATTAAAAATTGGTTTTAAAAATTGAATATACAACTTCAAGTATTGAATATATAAACACAGAGTGCATAGTGCATTTACTGAAGATATAATCATGCAGTGAAGACACTTCATGACATAAACTTTGCATTTGTTATATATATATATATATATATGGTTCAAATAATAATAATAATAAACATGAAACTAATTTAAGTCTTGTTTCAGAATACCAACCGTTTCTGTTGCTTTGTTCTCTTTCAGCACTGCAAAGCACAAGAAGATGAAGTATTTGATTCTGTCTATGAAAACTTGTGAATGAATGAAGGAATAATTGAGTTCATGAATTTGATGTATGAATACCTGCTGAAATGTACTTGGTGTCAAATAAAGATTTTTTTTTTGTATAATCTAATATTTTATGGGCCAGTATAACATAAAATAACATAAAATAAATGAAATATCAAAACGACTGAATATGTGTCGTTTTTCATCAAGCCTCTCACCTTCTTCCTTAAAAATGCGGTGGATTTTCTGCGAAAGCCCCGCCCTTACGCTGTGTAAACCAATCAAAAGATAACTTTAGATGTGTGCAACCAATAGGAACACTCGTATCTGAATTTCCTGTCTGTTGCTCCTCTTGAAGTGTCAACAATGGCAGCCGAGGGAGATTTTCTGACGCGCTACCGGGCGGTGTCAAATAAACTGAAAAAGTAAGAGCTAAAATGACAGCTTTATATCACTAATACTAGAATGTTTGCCATGTTAACTTTGGTAGACTATTAATGTTGTCTATAATACTGAGCGTAACCAAAGAATGTCATGCCAGCACTACACATCCCTCACAAGCATGTTGCTAATTAAATCTCAAGAGCTACTAAATAAAGTTCGCGTCAATCTATTATTGTAAAATTACAGAAAATTTATGGATGAACAGCTGAGGATGACATCTTGTAGATGTTTAATTCCATGCCAGCGCCTTCTTATGATGAACTATCCCAGAGTACGTTCAGTATGGAAGTTCAACCTGTCAAATTAATCTCATTTAGTGGCGTTTTAATATTTAGTTCTCCTCCTTTAAATCACAGACGTTTTCTGCGGAAGCCTAATGTCGCTGAAGCAAGTGAACAGTTCGGTGAGTATTGTGTCAGAAGAGTGATGCTGTGCGGCAATGCTACTCTCATGACTTTATCATTATATGCCATCTTTCCTCAGGTCAGCTGGCCAAGGAGCTCAAACAGCAGGAGTGTCCTCAGTATGCTGCCTTCTGTAATCTCGCCATGGCCCGGTAACACAGCCTCTCTCATTTCTTCATCCTTGTGTCTGATGTGAACAACATGTGGAATTAATCTTTTTTTTCTCTGTTTTCGTAGCTGTGAGCAGACCCTGTTCAATGCTCCAGGAGAAGCCCTGGCATTGACTGATGCAGCCAGACTCTTTCTGGCCTCAGAACAGGAAACCAGAGCGCTGAGGGTTCCTGGTTTCGATGAGAATATGCAGGCAGCCATGAACTGCTATAGTTTTGCGATTAAGGTATTTATCGGAATCAAATTTATTACCAGATGCTTATGCTCAAGCAGATGAGCATATATAAACACAGGTTGTTATTTTACAGAATGCTGGGCTCAGACTTGCATGCACAGATTTAAATAGAATGAAAAGACACTTGTGATTTTATATTTTTGATACAAATAAACTGCTCAGTTTAGCCTGACATATGTTAGTTTAGTATAATTGAGATATTATTGTAGTTTTTATTAAAGGGGTCATATGATGCGATTTCAAGTTTTCCTTTCTCTTTGGAGTGTTACAAGCTGATTGTGCATAGATAAGATCCCTGAAGTTGCAAAGACTAAAGTCTCAAAACCAAAGAGATATTCTTTATCAATAGATATAACAGATATTCTAAAACGGCTCGTTCTAACACGCCCCCACATATCTACCTCACTATGTGGAAATATTTGCATAATGCCACCCAAATGTGCACGCAAAGAAAGAAGGCGTGGTTTCAGTAACCGCAGTTAGTGTTGAAGCAGCATGTCAGGGAGACGCTGTGTGTTTCAGTGCGAAAGCAAAAGCACTTTATTTGGCCTTCCAGAAGTAGATGCATTTAGGAATCTTTAAGATGACTTACAACAGAACAGCAATGCATTTTATGGACGACCGTTTCGTCAACCTAGGAGAGGAGGTAATTCTGACTTTGCTATGACAATCTGGCGCTTCTGAATCAGCGACTGTTTTGTTACTAGTTTAAGTATTTGCTATTGACTGTTCAAATGCGGAGTTTTGAGCATCGTGTGTGTGTGTGTGCGCGCGTGCGCGCGTGCGTGTGTGAGAGAGAGAGAGAGAGCGAGAGAGAGAGGGTAACATCACAGTGGAGTCAGCTGTCTTAACCGTGGCTTGTGTACTGCAAACACATACCAGCTTCATCACTGTCTGTCACGTGACTCTGTTCCCCTTTCGGGCTCTGTCTTTACATTTATTTTGAAAGATGAAGCTCGCGATTATGGTAAGAGGCGTTACATTTCCGACGAGAGCTTGCAGTGTTCGGCCAATCACAATGCACTGGGTCAGCTGGCCAATCAGAGCAGACTGCGCTTGTCGGAAGGAGGGACTTTGTAGAAAACGAAGCGTTTGAGAGAGGCGGGGCATAGAGGACCTACAATAATGTACAGTATTTGAAAAATAATGTGGTTTTTGAACATTAAAGCATGTCAACATATTCTGTTACACCAAATACACAAAATAATGATCTTTAAAAAAGCATCATATGACCCCTTTAAAACGGTTTATTTTTGTATTTTCTGTTTACATTTTGTTTTTATCATATTTTCTTGTTTTTTTTATGTCTATGTAGGTTTTATAAATGTTTATTTCAGTTTTACATATTTTAGAACATTTAAACTAAATAAAATTGTATATAACATTTCTTTTATTTCAAGTAAGGAAAATGTTTTTAGTTTTATTTAACTTTAATAACCCTGGCCTGTCAGAACCATCAAGCCTTATATTATTTGCTATTCACTTTTGTTCACTATTACAGCCTCATTCAGTTAGAGGAAGAGAGGGTGAGGATGAGCAGCTAAGTAACCAATACAAGCAAACCAACATTTGTTTCTAAATTAATAAATCACCCGAAAATGAACCAAATGTAACTAATTTTCTTGGCTCCTAAAAATTAATTGAGGTCATTTGAAGAATACGTCTCTCTACTGGACTAATATAGTAAAAAGCCTCAAATCTTGCAATCAATCGTATGCAGATTGTGTGTATTTTTAAAAAATATATTTTTTAGATGTTATACTGCAAATATGTACTTCTATATTGTTTAGGTCTATATTGAGATGAATCAGCCTGTTATGGCGGCCAGTCTCTCACTGGAGCTTGGCAATGCTCTGAAGGTGAGACATTAATCATTGTAATACATGGAGCGGCTTTCTGTTCATAAATGAATTAAAATCTCATATTCATCTTGTTCCACGGTGCTTAATCGTGTTGTGGTCCTGTTTATATATTTGTGTGTAGGAGATGAACAGACCCGGGGAGGCGATAGTTCATTTCCAGAGAGCCGCAGAACTGCAGATTCAGACTCCAATTGAGGCCCTGCTGTCACTGTGGGAAATGGCCTCCTGCAAAATACTGTCCCGTGAGTTCAAAGATAGCAGCGTTTTCCTGCCAGAATGCAATGATTCATTTTGGTTTTGCGTTTCAGATGACGTTCTGTGGTTGTCAGAGTTGTGATGTGATGTTTGATTGGTAGGTGATCATGAGGGCGCTCTTGCTGTTCTCTCTGAGATGCAGCACATGTGTCAGGAAAGAGGACTACAGCTACCCGGGACAAACACCCCTGTCGGTATGAACATTCACAACATTATACAATCAGTCTTAGTTTTGAAATCTAGCTGGGTGTGGTTTGATGGCCTAATTTGAGGGATTTTCACCAGATTTGCTGTTTATTTGAATTTCCTGATTATACCCCGCAATCACAAATTTATAAGAAGCAGTCATGTTATATTTTGTGACTGATTTTCACGCTTGTCAAACATCTGTCAGCAGTCTTTTAGTTTGTGTATTTGACATCTGCTAATAATAATGACGCCAAGAAAATTAAGCATATGCTGTAAGATTCTTTAGATTCATGCTTCAATTCTGTTTGTTTTAATTCCAGGAGCATATATGGATATCATAGCAAAGTGCGAAATCTCCAGGGTATTACTTCTTATGTTGCTTGAGGTAAAATATATATTTAAAATCTGTAAGTTTTACAAATAAGCTCACATTTTGGACAGTATGTTAAGAAACCAGACCAATAGCATTAGTGTTTGTTTACTATCCTCAAATGACACTATATGTTTGTGTATCTTTGTTTAAGCCTCCCCCTCAAAAGCTGTTACCCGAGCATGCTCAAACACTAGAGCGATATGCCTGGGAATCCTTCGACTCACACAGTCAGGGTAAGACTTGCGAGCAAAACGGAGAACCAGGCACAATGTTTTATTTGGTTGCTATTCTTTATAAACTATTGTTACTGTCTGTCCTTTAGTAAACTTCCTTCCAGAAAATGTGTTCCTCCTCCTACAGTCGGTTGTGGTGAGTATTTAAAATCTGTTTCTAAAATTAGGTTGTTAAAATAACCACATTTAAAACCTGTATTCAAAATCCAATTTAAACCTGAACAAGTTTTCAGATTCTGAAATATTTAAAAACAAAGCATTATGATATTAAACAACATAGAAATATATTTGTGACCCTGGACCACAAAAGCTGTCTTAAGTCGCTGGGGTATATTTGTAGCAATAGCCAAAAATACATTGTATGGGTCAAAAATTTAGATTTTTCTTTTATGCCAAAAATCATTAGGATATTAAGTAAAGATCATGCTCCATGAAGATATTTTGTAAATTTCCTACCATAAATATATCAAAACTTCAGTTTTGATTAGTAATATGCATTGCTAAGGACTTTATTTGGACAACTTTAAAGGCGATTTTCTCAATATTTAGATTTTTTTGCACCCTCAGATTCCAGATTTTCAAATAGCTGTATCTCAGTTAAATATTGTCCTATCATAACAAACCATACATCAATGGAAAGCTTATTTATGCATCTTTCGGGTGATGTATACATCTCAATTTCGAAAAATTGACACTTAAGACTGGTTTTGTGGTCCAGGGTCACATATTAAAAAATGGAATTGTTATTTCAGCTTTTTATGTACATTTTTACATTGATAATGTAATTTGCAGTGAACAAAATTAGAAAGATTAAAAATAGAAGCATTTTCAGTAGTGGTCTCTTACTTTTAGACTGCACTGTTTGCTCGAATGTCAAAAATGCTATAAATTACTAGTAGAACTACTATCTTGGATTAAGATGGCTAAATGGTCTGACTGGCCTGTTTACAGATGGCCTGTCAGGAAAAGGATACAGAATCTCTCAAGGCTCTCCAGACAGAACTATGGTGAACTTGATGCATTTCCTGGCTCATACGATGCGTTTATATATATTAGACTGAAGCCTTTGGAATTAGATAAACAACACCTTTCTCTTCTCTCACAACAGGCCTCTCCTTTCGGCAGAACAGAATCATCTTCTCCACTTAGTGGTTCAGGAACGAATTACACCCTCCGGTCAGGGCATATGATTTGGTGCCATACACCCCCACAAAACAGTTCTTATTGGAACATTCCTAAGCCAGTGCCTTGTGCATTTTGCATGAGGAATGTAGAAGGTCACTGAACCTAACAGTCGTACATACTCATATGAAAATGTCTCAAATAACAGGTTTCTTTGCTTTTGTGATATGAATGTACATTTCATTCCCCATTTTCATATAATGGTAAGATATTGTGTGAAAAAGGTAAATGATTATGTTGAAGCTTCTTTAAATTTGTAAAATATTGATGTTGTAAATAATAAAATAACAAAAGAGATTCTTATCTTATGGCAAGGTCTTTATTTGTGTGATTACTAAAATTAATGTCCTCCCAGGTTTACACTGATTGGCTTTGCATTGAAAAAATAAAGTCCTTTCCATTTACTGTCATACTGCAACATAAAAATACATCTAGAGCTGGTTAAAACTTTAACCAAACAAAGTAAGGAGCTTCTTCCTTGAGAGGATGTTGAATAATTACACCCATACAATTATGAATAGATATTGACGTTTAAAAAACCAAAGCATTCTAAAAATTATTTTGGAACATTCTGTGCTCTAGAATGAGGATCTTACAGGGTGATCATCTGACCACATGAACAATCATTCATCATCATCATGCTAATCAAAAATGGCTGGCATAGCAACAGGGCCCATGATGTCATTATCAAGAAAGCATTTCTCCACACAGAAACTGTAAGTACATATGGTGGCAGAGGGTCTGTACAATGAAATTACAAAAGGATTGTGTATTCAGAAGTCTACATGATTCAAGCGGATGATCACAAATTTGAACAGCACCATAATGCATCGCAGTAACAAAGATTTGACCCTTATTTTCACCTAGAGACTATCCTGTGCTATTGCCATTTAAAACACACACACACACACACACACACAAAATGAATTGAAAGAAAATATGAAATAAAATAGTTTAAGACAATGCTATTTCTTAAAGTGCAAGTGATGTTTTAAACTACACTATGCTAAAAAAAATTCTGTATGTACTTTATATGTACAACTTATCTTTCTCTTTATACATATTATAAATATATTTTTTACATTTCATTCTTGTATGTACTGCATCTTCACCATCTTTACACACTAACTCCTGCAATAAAGTGTGTTTAGACCCTCTGTGCTTTGAGAAACTAGGAAAGATGACCCATCAAACCAATCTATAGTATTACTCTAAACAAAAATGCAAAAAACATTTCTCTTCTTGTTTCAAGAAACTTCTCTAGCAAATTTTCCTCAAATGCTGAATCAACAATTTCTCACTGACAGATTTTAAACTTTGCATATGTGCTCAAAAGTTTCAATGAACTGCTGACGCTGTGATTTGTTTCGCAAGTTTCTACAATTCCAACCAACGCCTGTAATATTTGAGACAACTCATTATTTTTCAAGTTGTGCACTTAAGACTTGGAAATAAAATAATTAAGGCTTTAGCGAGGTCTAAAATTTAATCAACTCTTTTGCGCAGAATGATGTACATAATTCCAGTGAAGAGGGTCAGCAGCCACCCAAACCAGGCCATGATGTAGGACCAGCCATACCAGCCATTCTTCTCGCCTCTGTGAAAGTGATCGGTGTAGACTGACAGAGCCACCATTATGCAGAAACCTAGAGGTCCAAGAGAAATGTATAAATGTACAACAAAAATGAATGTCTGTATGACCTGTACACTGTAAAAAATAAGAGTAATTTTAACTGTAAAATTTTGTAAAAACGCTACGGGAAAAAACTGTTAATAGGTTAACATTAAGTTTCCGTACTATATCCAGGGAAAAACTGTAAAATATCTAACCAGATATTTCATGTAATTTTACAGTAAAATGCTGTTAATTGTACAGTTTTTAGAAGTAAAAATAACAAATCAATGTATAATTTACAGTCAAAAACTGTAAACTGATATTCCCAGAATTCCCTGCTCGACACTCCACATTTTAAAGTATTTTGTTTATATAATCATGTTTTTTTTAATAGTTTTTGTTATTAGTTATGTATATTTGGGCTTTATGTTACATCTTCTGTTGTTTAATGAAAGTTTAATGCATTATTTAAGTATCATGTGTGTTACCATGATGGTGTTTTGTGTTTGCATGAATGACTTTGTGCACCTTCTATATTAGTATATACTCCTGCTTGTGGCGAAGCTGCTTGTGAAGAGCTTTGATTCTTCATGTGGCTTTCTCTTTTACCACCTGCATTATTATGGTGGTTGTCAGTATGTTAAAGGTACAAAACATATTTTAATAGCAGTGTGCATTGTTGAATTTACTTTGTAAATTTTCTTGTTTGTAAATTACAGTTTTATACTGTAAAATGTACAGTTTTGGGCCGTAAATGTGTTTACAGTTTTTCTGTATTTTTTACTAAATTATTCTGGCAACCACAGCTGCCAAAATTATTTTGTAAAAACTACAGAATTTTTTTTAAAGTGTAGGGCCTTAAAGGCAATGATCCACACAGGGATGTTTCAATAATGCCCTAATTTAACCTCAGATTTACAGAAGCATTAACTTACAGGAGATGAGTTGCACAATTCCAGAGATGGTGAACCGCTTTCCTTTGCCCAGAGTAAAGAGTTGGAATATGAACACGCACAGAGAGAACACAGCAAACAGGCAGGACAGAACTGCAAACGCCTGAACTGCCTGCAGATAGTCTAGAGGGATGAATTAAAGGGGCATCATGTAAATGTCCCAGTCTGCACGCTTAAAAATAATGGTTCTTTACTGGCATGAAGAAACTTTGACATCCATGGAATGTTTTCATTGCAAAAGAAGTTTCCTTAGATTATTAAAATTCGGAACTAAGTAAAAATTGGCTCTTTTAAGAACTGCTCACTGAAAGGTTCTTTGAGAACCCCAAATGGTTCTTCTATGGCTGTTCACTGAAGACCCCACATCATTGAAGAATCTTTATTTTGGCTTGACTAGTGAAAACAGGCAGATGTCCAAAAATGCTTACTTTTAACATTGTCTTACCTTTCCGGTATGAGGTTGGTATGTCCATGTACACCCAGACATTATCATTGTTCTCCATCACCCATCTGCCCCACAAGTCTGTATAAAGGTTCTCTGTGAACCACCATGCCTAGGAAAATTAAAAACCTACCATTAACTACAAACAGACTACTACAATGACGGTACAAACACATACTTTTCTTTTAAAAAGTCATGTTTTTTATGTATGAAGAAGACATGGATTTTATTACACACATATACATATATATATATATACACACATACACATAAAAGAGGAATAATGTGAACTTACATCATCAATAATTGCCCAAAATAGGAAGAAAATTGTAGTCAGATGAAGAAAACAGATTCCTGCCAGGGCCTTGAACATATTCAGAGGATGAGAGGGAAACAGGGTGGCACAATATCCTGCTGTAAGGGAAATATTATAAGACATGACATTTTGTGTTTAAGAAATACTCTACATAAAAAAATTCTGCAGCCATCCAATGATGACTTACTGAGAATATTCATGTTTTTAGAAAAAAAGTTGCCTTATATTTAAAGATGTGCCAAGCAAAGCATTGAGGAAGAAAGTGGAAGGGAGGCTCTAATTACCTTTTTACATGATTCAAAATGAATCTATGCTTTTCATTCACACAGTACTTTTAACCATGTGCTAGTAATACTGCAGTTATGTGTCTTTGCACTTAAACATGTTGATAACAAAGCAGCCATGGCTGACATCACCACATTAAAGCTGCATAAATGCTATGCAATAAACAGCAATTGTTTTATCACTTCTAAAGGGTCACTTTACTTTTGGGATACTAGATTTGTTTCTACCAAGATCACATGCACAAATCTCCAACGGCTGTTAAACTACAATATCATGTGGGAGGAGGAGAAGAGACACTCTGATGATGCTCTTTCTTAAAGGGGTCATATGATGCTTTTTTAAAGATCTTTGCTTTCGCCTAGAAACACACAGCGTCTCCCTGACATGCTGCTTCAACACTAACTGCGGTTACTGAAACCACGCCTTCTTTCTTTGCGTGCACATTTGGGCGGCATTATGCTAATATTTCCACATAGTGAGGTAGATATGTGGGGGCGTGTTAGAACGAGCCGTTTTAGGGGGGCGTGGCAGAGTCTTAACTTTGATAAAGAATATCTCTTTGGTTTTGAGACTTTAGTCTTTGCAACTTCAGGGATCTTATCTATGCACAATCAGCTTGTAACACTCCAAAGAGAAAGGAAAACTTGAAATCGCATCATATGACCCCTTTAAGTCACAGATACAGTAGGTGAACTGACATGTCATCTAAAATGCTGATGCATGCTGTTCATACAAACAACAAAAAGGTTTTAAGAGAAAATATGGTGTTAAATCCCATTAAATGATTAAAACTATTCCAACAGAGCATATCTTCAGCCAATGCATTCATGTTTTATATTCATTGGATGCCCGTTTAAAACAACGCATAAACAATCTCTTATTTATCGGTTCATTCAAGCAAACCACATTAGACAAAAATATGGAAGCTAATGCGAAAGCTCCCGCGAATTACAGATGTCCGACAAAGAAGGAATTCGTGTCACATCATGCGTTCGGATGCATTTTCATCCCGTTTTCAGCCAATTCTAAACGTTCTATTACAGTTTTAAAATAGATTTCCCTTTCTTTTATGTCGATTCTAAGACGCTTAATTGTATTAATAAATAATAGCTTTACAACCTCACTGGCATGATAATTCTACAGCGATGGCACAGATAATAAAAGGTTACCTTGGATATTTTAAGCTCTCAATTTCTTTTTCGTAGCCTGTCTGATGCCCCACCATCCGAGGATATTCGCACTTCCCCGCACCTCGTCCGTCGTCTCGCCCCCCCCTCCCCTCCCGCACTCTTTGCTGCATAGAGGACCCCACCCATCCCAAGGACTTACTTTTAAGTCCTTACGTATCCCACATCCAGCGAAATCCTAGAACTGTTTTGTCGCTCACTGGAAATTCATGCACGAGGTGTAATAAGAGACCATCATCTTAATGTCAAAACAGCCACTAAAACATTTAATTTTTTTAATGCCGGACTGGACAATATTTAGATGCCTCCTTAAACGCACTGTAAATTACTGTTCAATAATTCTGTGCAAGAGTTTACGACGTCGTCGTCCTGTTACCTAAAGCTGTGATGTGCTATAGCGATCTATCCGCATGCCGCAGCATCCTATCTCAGCTCCTCTAGAGATACACGCTGACCGCAGACTCCACACTCGCCCGGAGTCGCACTCTTAACTGCAGGCATAAAACGGGCCAAACGCGGCACATGGCTACCCAACAATAGGGCGATCTCAGAGCCAGTCAAACCCCATCTCTCCAATCACGGTAAAGTAGCGCAGAGAGGCAGAAAATGATGCGCAGGTACTTTGCAGAGGTTGATGATGAGTCATCTAAAGTTAGTTTGGAGCGACACCTACTGTGGATTTAATGGATTGCTAGTCTTACAAGTTTTTATTTATTTATTTATTTTATCGTTATTTTTGCATATGTGGTTTGAAATGAATAGCCTATATATTTTGTTACACTCTAAAAAATGCTGGGTTAAATACAACCCAGTACTAGGTAAAATAGGGTCAAACCCAGCAATTGGGTTGTTTTGACCCAGCGGCTAGGTTAAATGTTTAACCCAACCTTCTGGGTAGTAACACAACCGCTGGGTCAAAACAACCCAATTGCTGGGTTTGTCCCTATTTTACCCAGCACTGGGTTGTATTTAACCCAGCATTTTTTAGAGTGTATAGATATGTTCTATGAGAGAGGAAACATGCTGTCTTATGAAGAATTTATGCATGTTTACAACTTTCCCATCCTCTTTAAAGAATTTCAACAAGTGGTTAAAGCTATTCCAAATTGGTGGATACAACTGAACAAATGATATTTCCAGAATTAAAAATGAATGGTATTGAACTATTTTCTTCCTCTTGTAATAATACAAATATTAGACAAATTTTGCAATCAAATCATAAAATCTCCCCTAGAGGAAAGTTTTTTTGGAATGCAAACATTTCTGATATTAATTGACCTTGAAAACGACCTGGCCAGATCCTTACAAATTTTGTATTTTGAATAAAGCTAAAGAGGTGCATTTCAAAATACTTCACAAAATGTACCCATGTAAAGTAGCTCTTTCTAAATTCATGGACATTGACAATACTTGCATTTTTTGTAACACACATGAGGAAGACTTGTGCCATTTGTTTTATAATTGTGATTTGTCTCTTAGATTTTGGTCTGATGTTAGTGTCTTTCTATTTCTGCGAAGAAATGTTAATTATGTGTTATCTTTAAAAGATGTTATTTGTACTTAGTAAGTAAAATGATTATGTCGTTAACTTTTACATTTTGCAAGGTAAATATTATATTCATAAACAGAAATTTGCGAAATGCATACCAAAGTGTAATCTATTTTTATCAGAAATTGAAGCTTTGAAAAAGTCTCTGATGCAAATTAATAACAAAAAGAATGACATATTGTTAGATTTCATGGAGAATTTTTTTTTCTGACATAGCTCCCTCGCTGCAATCTGTGAATATGTCCTAAGGAAAAAGGAAGAACATTTGAACTATTGTTTATATGTTTTTTTATTTATTTTTTTGATTTTGTGTTTTATTTTGTTTTTATGATGTGGTTCTTTGTTTTTTTTATTTATTTTTCTTCTCTTAAACACTGTTCTGCAGTTTAAGATTGCTCTTATATTTTGTGTATCTGGATGATTTTTTTTTATTCGTCTAATTAGAATTAGACTGATAGACTGCTTACCTCTTGATTAACTAGTTGGTTAGACTTGTTTTTATGTTTACGCAGCTGGACCCAAAAGATATAGCTCAGTAAATAAACATTTTTTGAGACAAAATCCATAAAATGCGTTTTTTCCCCTGTGTGCAGTAGTTTGTTAGTGTATTCATTGCCTATTTTTTCTGTGTAGGCCACATACTGATCTTTATAATGTTCTCTATTATAGATCAGTGGCGCAGCCTAGACTATTTTTCATGTCAATGCCACTGCATGTTGTAGGCCTAGCCTATAAGTTATTGATTATTGCATATGGCTATATGGCCAAAACAATATGACCCAAATTGTATTGTTTTAACAGTATCCTATTTTTTTATTTTTTTGTATGTTTATTGAATTGTTTTGTTTAATTGTTTTAAGACTATTTTTCATGTCAATGCCACTGCATGTTGTAGGCCTAGCCTATAAGTTATTGATTATTGCATATGGCTATATGGCCAAAACAATATGACCCAAATTGTATTGTTTTAACAGTATCCTATTTTTTTTATTTTTTTGTATGTTTATTGAATTGTTTTGTTTAATTGTTTTACCATTTAAACGGTTGAACCCCCTTTATCTGACATTAACAGTGTTTTAAAACTTGATACATTTCTAAATTAAAGAAGATTGAACAGAACATAGTCATTTATTGACTATAGTACGTTTGTGTTAACAACCTTTTAGTGATTATTTGCGTGCGGTTCGGTAGCCTATTTGAAAATTACTGACAATTAACTTCAGCTGTGGCTCATGCCATTTAATAAGGGAGTTCACAGGCATCGTTTCGCTACATATATAGAGTTGCCGTATTGCAGTTTTTTAATGCGTAGCTCGATAGGCATTGGCTCGTGTGAGCATAATTTCAGGCAAACAAAACACCAAAAAGTATGAAACGTTAATAGCGGTAGTCAGACATAACCTATCCAAGATGAATACATGCGGATATCTCCCAATACTCGGTGTTTTATTGTTGGCTTTTCATGGTGTTTTCTGTAGCGAATTTGCCGAGAGTAAATGTGCTCCGTCGACGTTTAAATTTCACGACGAGATTTCAAGTGGCGATATTTTTAAGTCGTTTTGGCTGAACCGAAAACAGCGAAGAAGTGTGAAATTTGTGGGAGATGGACAACTGAATAGGCCTACTGCAGATCAGACACAAACTAAACCGCAATTTGAATGCGGTGACCGAGTTTTAACGCTTCTTCTAAAGCATGTCGATGTGACCAATATCCGATTTTATGGACGTAAGTGTAAACAGGATCTCCTCAACGTCCTGACATAATTCGTATCAACCAGTAAATGCTTTATGTGAGGTCAGCGGATAATTTATATTGCAATTTAAAAGGAATGTAGGCTACTTTATTTATTTTTCTGTATTCATGACTGCTTGGTTAGTTTAATGACGTTATTGCTGTTTAAACCGCAGCTTTTGTCCTTTTCTCTACTGCTAGCACATGGAGACCTGCTTCACTTGGACCATTTGGTAGCATTTTGTGGCGTTTCCATCAAGAATACAAACATGGATATTCGCCTGCTGTTCAACTATGATTCCTGTTATATGAGACAAGAGGCAAGCTTGCACTGTTTCATTTCAGTCTCAGTATTGCGGTTTCAATAAGACCTATAAGCATTGTTCCATGTGGCTTTTATTCTTGCTAGGCAAATGAAAGGTGCACTTTTTCTGATATGACCACCATCTTAGACTTTAATGTCCAGATACATTGGACATCTACAGTTATGGATGAGGCAAACGCATGTTTTCATGTGCCATGTTTGAACAAGTATCCCGTAACCGGGTTTATTGTAATTGCAACATGTGGGCCCCAATAAGATGACCCTTAAAATGGTTCTCTTTATTCTTTTTGCGCCACATTCTAGCAAACCAAATATGTATTATCTCTGAGCTGGTATGGGGCAGATCTTGACCTGTTCTGTCCTGTAAGTGTGACCCCTCCCTCCGTCACGTGTAAGAACAATGACATGGAATTGACTGTTGTTGGTGATGGAACCGCAGATGAACTGTCAGTTGCATGTAAGTATTGAGTAATGGTGGGGGAAGAAGGCATTTCTGTGAGGCTTAACTTGTGGTCTTGCTGGTATTTGCTAATGTTTTCATAGTAAATGGAGAATGGGCACCTCTGCTTTACGTGGCGACTCAATGCTGGCACCGGAAGCGGTCTAAGCAGGGATCTCTCACCTTTTTGGTTCCATATACAAGCTGTGGCGTCACCATCAGAGTAAGTACAGTGGTTGTTTGTTTTTTGGTTTGGGGTCTTTTTTTAAAATTTTTTATAAACCGTTGGTGCAGTAATTTAACTTGTGTAAAGATTTAAAATAATTTCTGACATGTGGTTTAAATGTGACTCAGGATGGTCGTTCTGATCTGGAATTTAAATTAAAAGACCAGATTATCACACGGTCCTGTCCTCATGAGCCAATACCAGTGTTTCCGGTCACTGACTCGGGGCTTTCTGTGACAAACCAACCACTGCCACAAAGGGAACCCAATGTATACCACAAGCCACCAACTGGATTTCCAACAAAAGCAGCAGCCACTCAGATAGTGGAGGAGCAAGCATTTCCTGTTGAGCAACCGGCAAGAAATGCAGCTAGAACACCCTCTCGACACGGACGTCCTTTGCTGCCTAGAATACCGTCTTTGCCTGGCTCTTTTAATCTAGCTGTGAACTTCCCGTTTTCACTTCCCAACCCAACACGGACGGCTCACAGAGACCATTTAACAAGTAAACCTGTGACTCCTGCACCGACTTATGCTCCGACCACTGATCCTACTGTTCCGAGCTCCGAGTTCAGCTCCAATATTGAAAATGGACCGTCCCATGTCTCTTATGAGCAGATGCAACCGGAACTTGCTGATCCGGTCACTAAGGCTCCTAAACCTGAATCTCACTACATGCAGTATCCATATAATTTTGAAAAACCTACTTCAACAACTCCTCAAACTGAGCCTTCTCCTGCTCCAGAATATCAACTTTCAAGAGTGTCTGTCCCTAGTGCTGCACTGTATCAGTGGTATGGGTCGGCTCAGAACTTTCCTAAACCTAATCCACTTAAAGTAAATCCTGCTTTTGCCAGCTTGGCACAGAATATTCCACCTGGTTATTTCCTATGCTCTTATGACGATCAACAACTGCAGATTCACCCACAGATGTTTCAGCCTCCTGTTCCAAATCCGCCATTGCAGTATCAAAATCCTAGTTATCAAAAGCCTGACATTACTCCGCTTGCAACTGTTAATTCTGATACACCTCCCATGAAAGAATACTCGGAACATCAACTGACTAGTGCTGTTGCTTCTAGCGCCCTTGATTCTGGTGTCCCACTTTTCCAGCCAACTCAACGTTTCCAGCCTCCTCAGTACCAGCAGTACTTTTACCAAAGTAGTTATGGTCGTAAAGGTTCCTCCACACCCTTATCACCTACTTCTCAGCTTATTCCCATAAATATGCAATCTCAAACAAGGCCATATCCTCCTTATCCTGCTTCTCAAGATTCAAGACCCTTCCAGCCACAATATTACCAAAAGCCTAGTCAACCTTATGGGTCAGTCCAACAGCCTTGGTCAACCAGTTACTTTCCTGTTAAAGGATCGTCTCAAGAGTTGAGACCATTTGTGTCCACTTCAAGCCAGACACCCGAGTATCTCCAGTATCAGACTGGTGGAGACCAATCTCCAAGTCCGTATCAGAGGTCTGTTGTCCATACCCCTGGCACAGGGATCTCAAGTCGTTCACAATACCAGCCCAGTCGGTTTTCCAAACTCCCATATCCACCATTGAGACCAGAGGTGCTTTCAGGTGATGTTTCCACCGAAAATACTGGATCTAGACCTGTAGGATTTTTACAGCCACGGTTCAAAGCTTCAATTCCAAGGCCACCTGTGCACCTTCCTTTACTGAAAAAAACTGAGGCACAAGTTGCACAACTTCCTTACAGTCAGGGTCCTTCATTTGGGTACATGCAGAATCCTAATATCCACTCTGAAAGGCCAGGAGAACCAAGAAGTCGGAAGCCTCAGAATGACACCCTGCCACTGCACCAATTCTTCAGACGGGCAAGAATACCAAAGGATGTTTATGTGCCCCCACACTTCAGGTCTACCTCAGAGAAATAAGTGCAATTGGCAAAAAAGGCACCACACTCTGGTATTTTGGGAGGTTTTGTTAACTTGTTTTCAAGCTTTCAATAAAGTGTGAAAGTGACTTGATAAAACTGTTCCATTGATAATGCAATAAATATTTTGTAACTATTTTTGCTTGTTGACTAATACATTAGGTTTACAAATTTTTTTATTTTTGGTCCATAACCAAATTGCTTGCTGCATATGCTACTCTCACTTTGGTTTGAATAAAAACAAAAGTTTCACAATACAACAATCTCTTTTTTTTTTTTTTTTTAAGTATGAGTATGTTAGGCATAAAGGGGCTCCCACTTAAAGCACTGAGGCTCCGTCCAGTGGTAAATTGTTCCTGGTTTTGTTCAAACTCCCTGTGGCGAACTCTCTCTGCATCTACATTTGAGTGGGGAAGCCACAGTACTTTAAGTGGGAGCCCCCTGGCCCCTACCCCCAAGGCATCAAAATGTGCAACAAACATGACAAAAAACAAGCTGACATGTTCTCACTCACACTGACACATGCTCAGGGCAAGTTCTGCAACCCTACTGTATGTGTAGGCCTACAGGATGTACACTGAGCACTGCTGTTCAGTTGGATTGTTTGGGGCCAAGTTTCTTTTTATTTTTGAAATGGGTTACATAAAACAATTTCTTCTATTTGAATTAATTTGTCTTTCATCAGATTTGGCAATTGTTTTAACTTTCAGGTAGCCAAAACTAAGTTAAAGTATCTGGTTCGATCGTTAATGCTTAGTTTTTTTTAAAAAGTGCATTTGTCACAATTTAGCTTTATTCCACACCGCTCTGTCCCTTCTCTGAGAAACGGGCTGATCATTTCCTCCTTTTATGAAGCCCCTCACTCAGAAATAGGCGATGAGCTATGATTGGTTAGCTAGCCCAGTGTTGTGATTGGCTAAACTGCTTCTAGTGCGCGTCTAAACTTCCCGCCCTTCACCTCAGCGGTTAATTGTAACAGTTCATTGCTGAGCTGAATGAGAGCGAGAGAGAGATGCAGAGCGTGTGCAGTGCAGGGGGACGCGAGGAACAGTATTGAGAACCGCTGCTTTAGAACATTGATTTTGAAACTTGTGAATCCATTAGAATCGTTAGAAGACAGAATCGCGATTCATATATGAATAGATTTTTACGTGCACCTCTAGTTTTCTCTTCCTCTTCTCTAAAGCAGCGCAGCATGGCCTCGCCCCCTTTGCTCCCTTTTCCCGAGGGTGGGGTTTATCTGGGTTTGTGATGTCACAAACCCGGGAAGTAACGTGTTGTAGTCCCAACCAGCCGTTTTTGTAGGCATTAAACTGCCAGAATTGTAAAAGACGATATCTCCATTTGCATTGATCTTTCAGCTTAGTAACTTTGCAGATATTGTTTGTTCAAACAGCAACATTACACACTAACTAACGTTAAAAAAGTGAAAATGCAATGAACCACCCCTTTAAAGGGTCATGACTACTTTTTCTGAGATTGTAGCAGAGGTGTTTGTGTTGCACATCATAGAAGACAATGTTAGCATCTGATAATTTTAACTGTTGGAGAACACTGGTTAAAATTTTTTTGCTCTATTTTCATCTTCCGGGTTTAAAATCTACATTGTGTTGACGTCACAATTTGTGACGTGGCAATGGACTAATAGTACATCAATGACGCGTCGGTGTCTATTAAATTATTCATAAGACTGCATGTTCTTATCCTATGAGAAGACGCTTCGCTTAATTATTCACAACAGCATGTGTTGATTTGCTATGACAGACGTTTCAGACTGTGAGTTGACATCGCGCACGTTAACTGAGAGAAACGTTCATGATCAAAGAAGAGTGTTTGTTTTTGCTTTGTAATAAGAGTTCGGCACAAACACGATTCATTCACTTGGTGAGCATAACTGTTTTTACAGCTCTGTGACACAACCCGTCAAAAGGCTTATATAAATGCCACAGAATAAGCCTTAAAAGTTCTCAGAGGTGCAACAGCGCGTTCATATATGTTTTCGATGCAGAGTGCAAATGGCTGTGCATTTATTTGTGTTTTTAACTCGATGGGAGTGAAATGAAACAGTCTGAACGAGGAGCTGTGTGTGTTGTCTGTCTCCTCTCTTCCAGATCAGCTCTAGGCATGACGAAGCGGATATCGTCGTCTTTTGGAAGACCAAACAAAGTAGTTTCGCTTTCACAACGAAAAACACAGCGGCTTAACGTGAGCTGAAGCCGGGCAAGAGTGAGCTGAGGCAGCGGGGTCGAGAACGGCGGTCCCGGCGAAGGAGCGGAGATAACAGTGAAAGCCGATCCTGCGATCCACAGCACTAAGTTGATGTATTTGGGGGGGGGGGGGTAGATTCCTTTTTTAATGGTTAAATTACATTTTATTAATCAAAAAGCATGTCTAATTAATTAAAATCATGAAACTTAAACAATTTAACATCAATTTATTAAAAGTTTCATGACCCTTTAATAACCAATCACATTACAGCCTTGACGTCATTGAGTTGTGCAACATTCATTCGCCGTTTACGGATACCATAGGAATGAATGAGAAATGCCGTAAACTGAATCCCACCTGTCGCAAAAAGCCAGTGACTTCTCTTATAAAATTATTATTTTTTCCCGGTGTAAACAGTAAAAATAGCTTAATCCAAAAGTGCTTAGTGTAAAACATGTTGGAGATTAGCTGATAGGCTCTCGATTCGTTAAATGATAAGCTGTTTCCTCTAAAAAGCTGTTTATTCAGTGTAGTGAAGCCTCTCCTCCATTAACATACATCCATCCATTCAAAAAAAATAATAAATAAAAATAAAGAACGGCCTCTGGCCTTTCCCACGCACTGGCAAACAGGAAGCGTTAGCATTAGCTGTTACGCTTTTTTGGCTAAAGATTGCAGGCTTGACTTCTAGTAGCTTTGGTTGAAATGTGTGTGTCTCACGGTGAATTTGTGAGACTTGAGAGCCCTGAAATATGCTTTCCATTTGGGCGAAAGTAGTCTGGTTTTGCGTTGTGTCACACGAACCGGCGCATTGCGCACACAGTCTGCTCCCCGGTCTAGCAGATCATATGCACGAGTCCGCACAGACCACAAAACGTATCGGATCCATTAGAATTCTACACAAAATGCTATATTTTATAGCGACATGGATGAGATTAGGAGGATAAACGGTTAGACAAAGAGCACTAACGAATAGAAGAGATACCGGTGCCCTGCACCAACATAAATGACAGTTTTCCAACTACACATCCTCAGCATCATTATAATCACTGTTTTGCTTCAGAAACAGTTTCATATGGAGGGTAATCTATTAGACTGTGGCTGTCATAATCTCTCAAATAAGGCTTTACCAGGTCAACGGCTCTGGCCCAAGCTGTGATATAAACTAAATGCTATTGGCTATTTTAAAAAGGGGAGGGGCCTGTCCACCTGTTTCAGTTGAAATTACGCCAACACATAAGAGTAACGCTGCGCTGTATCTAGAACAGAATTGCAACTCCGCCATCTCAATTTTCACTGATGGTTCCAAAGATCACGAGACAGGACGAGCATCAGCAGCTGTATTTGTCCCAACTTATCAAATCAAGATTGGTAAAAGAGTTTCTGATCAAGTAGGAGTTTACACTACAGAGATGGTAGCAATATTATTAGCTAGCAGGTGGATGGAGGATACTCGGCCAATGAATGCGATGATATGTTCAGATTAATTCTCTGCATTATCAAGTCTTATCAGTGGAAGATTTTCAAGACAAGACATTTTGTATGAAATTATTTTATGTATGTATAGACTGAATAAGATAGGAATTAAGATATGTTTCCTGTGGGTTCCAGCACACGTGGGAGTGGATGGAAATGAGGTTGCGGATCATTTAGCAAAACAGGCACTGAAATGATCACATATAGAAATTATTATACCACTAAGCAAAGAAGAAGTTAAGGCTAAACTTAGAACAGCAATAAAAATGAGAAGGCAAGAAGTTTGGAATAAGGAGGAGAGAGGAAGACATCTTTATCATATTCAAAATCAAGTAGGGGTTGAAAGAGTTAATTTTGGTAGTAGAAGAGAAGATACAATTATTACCAGACTTTGCATTGACCATGCTGCTTTAAATTCTTCTCTATATAAAATGAATAAGCATGAGTTTGTGAACTGTAGTCCGTGTGGATTACCAGAAACAGTAGAGCACATACTATTAAGTTGTTCTGTTTATGATAATGAAAGAGCATTTCTGTTGGAAGAATTAAAAGAAATAGGGATAGAAAATATTACACTTAAAACTTTGTTGAATAATGGCTTGAATTATTATAAAATATATAATGCTTTAATGACATTCTTTTAAAAAAGTAGATCTGTTTAACAGGATTTAGAAGGGTTTAATTTTTTTTTTTTGTAAAGGCAATTCTGAGAATTGTTTCTGAATGCATTATAAATGTTACAAATGTATTGCTGAAACACATTACAAAGACTATGAACTATGTAGTACTGAATAGTGGAGTTAGACCATTAAACAGTTTTTCACCAATTCTGTGTTCAGGATTTTTTGGGCGGGGCTAAAAAGGGGGTTCGATGCCCCACTGGAGCCCCGGAGCCATGGCCCCTCCCCTAACACTATAACTAGAGCACATTCGCATCAGTTCACCCACTCAATCGTGACTCGAGTTGTCAGTACCGTTATGCCGAGTTCACACTACACGATTTTCAAAGACGTCGCATCACCGTTGGTTTCACACTGAACGACTATCTGGGGTAGCATTCAGTTGTTGCTGTGTTCACACTGCACGATGGAAAGACGACAGGAGGTTACACACTGGATGACTTTACAATAGGAAGAATCGCCGACAGCTCTGTCTGGTGCAGGGTTGCCAGGTTTTCGCTACAAAACCCGCCCAATTACTACTCAAACCTAGCCTGAAAATAGCCCAATTACTTTTGAGGGGGGTCCCCCAGTAAAAATCGCGTTCGGGGGTAAAATACAAATTTTTTGGGCGGGGTTCTCCTGGTACAATTCACATTCCAGGGCCTAAATATCATGTTATTGGGGTCGCTTCAACCTGCTGACATAAAAAACAACCGGCGGCAATCGCGGATTTGGCAACACTGGTCCGCAAACTACGTTTCATATAACTCCTTCCCGAACTTCCCGC